ATATATATATATATATATATATATATATATATATATAGCAATAATTATTTAGGTATATAGATATATCCTTTATCTCGCTCGCTTCCTATCTGGTTTTGCTCTTTGTCACACGTTTTCAGATCATCATCAACACCGCCATCATTCAGGATCATCATTATCATTCGTCATTGTTTGGAATCTGTATGATGCACACAAACGCATACACTGTTTCACTTCCTTTCGTTCATGGTATATAAGCTCATTTGTTAAACAGTCGTCGTATCAAGACGCATCGCAGTCTCTGGACATGTACGCAAATCTTCAAGTTCTGATATGACTAAATTTTAGGATAAGTTTTTCTTTTAATAGAGGAAAAACGAATTTTAACTCTTTCAAAACGAAACATCTGGCCAACATCAATCAACATCAACGGCAAAAATCGTAATTGTCTTAAAAATTTCTGTAGGATCAACAATGACTATTGGTTTCAACATACACATGGAAGCAGACGCAGTCACCCGCTGCTAATTTACAACTTATCGGGGTTCGATTCTAGCCTTCGTCACAATCACACTGACGGATGGCTCTCGTTTGCTCCCCTTTCCGAGCGGCTCCGTCATTGACCGCCACCTTCTGACGACGACGACGACAGCGACAAAGATGTAAGTATAGAAATTGCATATTATGGGACGTAATAAGGCCAACAGCAACAATCATACTATGCGTACAATCAGTAGATCAAGGTCAATAGTCACATCTTCTCACAGGGTTACTGTCCATCACATAAATTGATTACTTCCGACTATCTCTTTCTTGTCGCACCTTATTAGTGATTTTCATTGTCACCTTTTTTTTTTTTTCTTTATTATATAGATATTACCGGAAACTTTTCATTTCGCTGCGGCTGGTTAATACATATTTTTACGGCATTCTTAAAAAATCGTGCGAACGTCCGCGCACCATCGGGCCACAGGAAACTCGTTTTCAATTTTGCTTTTGTTTCTATTGTATCATATAATTTTCAGCCTGCATGGTCGACACCATTGTTGCCGTCATCATCGTCATCATTAGGCCGGGGCAATTAGACGAAGGTAATAACGAATAACGCGATAAATTTTTGACCGTTTCTGGTGGATTGACACGGGCATAGTATGTATTTCAGTCAGTTATAACAGAAGACTGCTGCTGTCCAAAGACCGCCAGAGGAGATTCTTGACTAGTCCACGGGAAGACGTCCGAATGTAACAGCGTCGCCAGCACGAACGATCCCGTAACGCATGTTCGATATATTCGCTTGTGAAAAAACCCACTTACAAGCTCCACCAGGAGGAACTTGTGGGCCACCTATGACATCTCTGATCACAGAAATCACTTGATCACTCGACTCACTTACTGCAGACTTCTATTACAGGTATAGAAGTTTGTTTGTTGCGTTCGCGCCATCCTGCCTTTCGTATCGTACGGTGTTGTGGTATGTACGTTTATTTTATATATGGTGTACATAACGTATTTTATATATGCTTATATATGCATGGATGGATGTATCGTGCTTCTGCAACGAAATGGAAGCAATTATATTGGGGAGACGTCGATCTGCTTTGAAAGCGGATGTCGCTGCTGCCACTGCTATTGCTGGAAGCTCGTTTTGGTCTATATATAAGGACGACGTAATGTTGGTATCTAACAACTAATGGGTATATTGTGTAACAGAACCTATTAGAGCCGATAGAGAACCCCATCTGTGCACAGGCATAGGCCGAAAAAAGTGGCCTAAGCTAAACTCATCGTCATTATCATCATCGTCATCACCGAAAACGGGCACTCTCAAAAAAAGAGTGTCTACCCAAACTTACAAGGAAGAAACACATTCTATAACGACAACTAGTTCAACTACTGGAGATCCCCTAGTGGCCTTCGTCCTTCTACCATATGTTAGGTTTCGTTTCTTTTTATTGATTCATAGCTTGCTTTGTTAGTATATGGGTCGGTGTCTGACCGTGGTCAGAATATCGTCCAGGGCAGCGTGCCGACAGGCGGAAGACGACAAGCAAATTCGAGCGCACATGTCATGCGGGCGACGTAAAGGAAGCCGGACGCACCAACGCCCCCGGTCGGCCAGCAAGGTCAGGCTGCTGCAGCGACTTTCGGAATCTCGAATTCGAAATCTTAGGATTCCGATAATTGGAGCCGACGAGTCAACGGCGTTGCTGCGGACTTTGTAGAAAAACCGACAAAGTACAGGAGTTTGAAAACTGACAACTCAGGAAAGCTGCCGGTAACGACCCAGGGAAAACGCTGGAGCCAGTGGACGGTTCTCCCTTGCGTCAATACGACTGACTGCTATAATCATCACTCACGGTCATTTTTTCTTTTTTCCTATCATCTCTTTTTCTTTCACCTCTTCGTTTTCGGTCTCTCAATATGTAGCTAACTAATTACCCATTTCATCTATTATAATCACACATTACGATCAATACAAGCTCTTCAAAATTAATCACAACAACGATGGGGTGGGTTGGTTGATCGGAGGGGCCAGATCTTCTGGATTCTCCTGACCCCCCACGACGTTGTTAGTAAGCGGTATAAGCCTGCAACAGATGTAGACTTGTCGAGTATGACTGAGTCTGGCCGCAACACTGCAGCCCACAGCATCCTACGATAACGTCGCACGGCGGATTATATCATGTCATAAAATATCGGTGGCTTGACGTACCGACGCGTTGTAGAACTCGACGACAATGTGATCCGATTTTGAAGCGTTGCTCCTTTGCTTACCGCTTTCGTCTTTTTTGATGCGACGATTCTCATCTCTCAATGACAGCTGGCGTAGAAGTCGATCACGCGAGCGCGTCATCGTATGACCTCATGAGGATTTCTGCAACCACGATTGTAGGTAGCGAGGTTCCAAGTCATGAAACCTCGTGTGAGGTCGCTGTAGCATTTACGATAGCCCTCAGCCGCATTTTGTTTGCTTCAACGTCGTTTCCGTGCTGTCCATATATAGACTATGTTCACTTAAAGCGATTCTTGATTGCTGTAGTTGGTCAACGCTGGTGCTCCTACCGCTGCAGTACGATACGGTGCGCGTTCATTAATTAGTTGTGCACCATAGTCCCTTACTCTGCCATCACTTCGGTGTCGTGTCACTAAGCTAGACAGGTGATGGATTCATGCGTGCACTAAACCGCTGGCTGCGGTCGACCGATAGCAAGTGGTGATGTGTGATTGCTTGTTTTTTGTTTTGATTCATTTTGGTTCAGACTTCCTGATACCAATATCGGACCAGATCGGATAGGACCGCGCTTCCCCGTTATGAGACAACTTCCCCGTTGTAGTCGCTGGATCATCGGCGACTCTCGGCAATCTACGTGTAAGCGTACAACATCAATAACGGCAGCGAAGTTGTCATGTTTCATCTTCGTGCCCCAGACCGATCCATTTTCACGCTGATGAGCATCCTTTTCTTCATCATGATCATCATCACCATGACCATTTGCGTCATCGCCATTAAAGGATTTTTCATTTCTCTTCATCCTCGTTTTCTTGCGAGGCGCCAGCTGCCCGAACAGCCGCCGCTACTAGAAATTCAGCAGTGGTAAAAAGCAGAAGTTAATTTGGTATGATTTATCTAACGGCACAAACTTGTGGCAATTACTAGTAACTCGGCTATGGATCGTATCAGCTATTATATATTATGAAGTCTGAAGCGCCTAATTGGATTTATAATGCAGACGCAGACATTCGTGTTGTAGACCAGGATAGCAAAAGAGATATTTAACACAAACACATGATAATTTATATATATA